ATAACCTCAAAATCTGATACTTTTTTGAAATATATCTATTATGCAGCTAGTCCGCTATAAAAATAGGATCATATAGGATTTAACTAATGATCGACAATAAAACACATAATTTTCCGATGCTCTTGGTTTCAGGGCGAACAATGTATAGGCGCAGAGCAATGTCCTTTACCAGAAATATAATTTAAAATCTAAATACTGAATGCAGGATTTGGCAAGTGTAAATGCCATATGGTGTCGACGTATGGGAGTAGTGACAATTTCAGCTAGCAAGACTTTATAAGAGACTTATTGTAAGGCACTGACTATATAAAACGTCATGTCTGACTTTTCTAAAACGGTCATGTCTTATCGTATACGGATGAGATGTTGAAAAATGCTTTGGATAAACGATTACACTGACATAATACAAATGACACTGGTGTCAGTTACACACCACAATAACAAGACTGCAAAACGATGTCGTTTACACAATAACACACTCGGTGTTTAAGCTTAAGTGGCCAGTGCCGACATTTAAGAGGTCCATGAACAGCACAGTCTATCTATGGGCCCTTATAAGCTGACGATCTAAGAAAAAAAAAAACTTTTGTTGATGTGATTTCTTTTATTTGTGAAGCTGTCAATTAGCTCACGGCGAACGCAACAATCGCACACAACACGTCACCTAATCCGTTCGTAATTAGTCTCATGTTTAAACTAAGAGTCTGTTTCAATAAAGAAGTCCCGTGGAAAATATGTGAACTAAATTGTAAAGTATGGAATAACACAGCTAATATCAAATTTCGCGAAAACTCTGGAGCTGGGCTAAGGTACTTCTTTCGTGAAAAAGTACTCTTCTTTAAACCCAATACTATCAATAAATAATTTTGTAATAAGGCAGATTAGGTCTAGGTTCGGTTTGTAAATTGTAAAGATATATATTGAAAGATATTATCTTATCTTTCTTAGTGCGTCTGCTATCGCCAACGGAAGTAACATACTTTTTAGCTCAATTTGGGCTAGTGTACTATCTTAAAACGCCGGCAAGCTAGCTTAAGGTGACACTAGTCGACATTATTTCCATAGAAATTTCGGAGGGGTTTTACTCCGCTGTTTGACAGTGTACATCCAAAATTAAACATGATATCGTTTTGTCTCATTATTAAATTTGTCTGTACGGAAACAGAATAGTAAAATAAAATGTTATTAAAAAGTTACGAGCTACCAAAGATTCGTTTTTATTGCCAATTTTAACACAACTTTGGGCGTAAATTAGTAATAAAAGAAGTGTAAAATTTCCAAAACAAAGTCGGTACCGACACAGGTAAATTATCGAAGAACTCAATAAATTTTATTTGTAATTGATTAATGCAGTGGTTTTTTCATAAAACCCCTTCTTCCAAAGGCCTTTTCGTATTTTTTTACGCGCGCATATTACTATGAATTATCGTGCATCTCACTGAATAATGTCTCCCCCGGTGCGGTGCGGGAGGACGATGCTTACACACACATGCACAGGCGGTGACGCGCGCTTATAAGTATTCGAGTTTTATTCGAAACGAAAAGTTTTGCTATTTTGTAATTTGGACGCCAAAGACAAAAGACGGCATGGAAATTGATATAATTGAAAGAGATGATGCGTTTTGGACGACAGACAATATTTTAAAATTTTCGTCTGTAATATAATATAATTATAAAAGTAAAAAAAGTAAAGTCTATATTCGATTACTATATAAAATTGCAACAATTTCATTGGTGCCGACGGGGATCGAACCCGGGTTGCTCGCGTAATGTGATACTTACAGCGAGCGCTAACCATCTGAGCTACCACGGCTCTCAATGCAAGTGTTATAAATAAATAAAGAATTACAAAACAGTTTAATTATTTATTAGACGACTTTTGCGGCGGATAAACAAAGTATATTATGTGGGATTTTCATAGGTACCTACTGTTATTACCTAGATACCTACAATCAACAATACAACAAAATGTCACAAAACCTCGCCGCGTCGTGGCCACAAAATTGTAAACTTTAGGTAGGTACGTCGGTACTAAGAAAACAATCTTGATGGGTCACTTGTCTTGATAAAAACCTGTGTTTACGTTTAGTGATATTGAGTATATATAAAAAAATAAGAAGCCAGGTAAGTAAGTATTTTTGAAAACAATTTATAGGTAGGCAGACCAATTACGATTATTATCTAAATATTATAAATGCGAAAGTTGGGATATTTGGATGGACGGATGAATGGATGTATGTTACTCAATCACGCCAGAACGGCTGAAGGGATCTGGATGATATTTTGCTCAGAGATAGGCTATAGTCCGAAATTTTTTTTTCAAAAAAACTTTACCCCACACTAGGATTTTCTCCTGTATCGTGGAGGCAGTTTACAAACATCCAGACCCGGAACAATTATTTGTAGACCATACAAATACTTGTTCGATTGATTCGAACCCGCGGCTCCCAGTACAACAATTCATTGCTAAGCCACTGCGCCACGGAGCTGCCAAATATCATATATGATACCGTTTATTCAGATATTTCGTTGCCGTGGGATAATTATCGAGTTACACACGTTCGAAGCCGAACTCTTGAGTGATTGCTGCATGACCACTCGGGGAAAACTAAACATAATAAAATAAGCAATCTATATTAGGTATATAGAGCCACAGACGTATACCTAATAATTTCGTGGATTCACCCGCGTCATCACGTGTCCGAGATGCGTGGCATGACATGACACCTAGTTCCAGCATTTTATAATTGCAATCAAATATTTTATTTGATTGTAATATATGGAAAAATTGTCATGATTAATGGAGTACTTTTATTTTATCTGTCGGCATATTATGCGCGGTTTTTTCCAGTTTTAAAGAAAAACGTACACGATTCATGAAAAGTGTGTTGGCAAGAAATGATTCTTGATAAATTTGCTATCAACCTCTTATACTTATTAATTAATTAAATTTAAACTTTCAAAATACCATAGCAACGTGAAATTAAAGAGTTCAGAAATAAAGATGTAACTAATCATTCATACGGTCACCCGGGAGATAGATAAAAGTACTCAATTAATTTTGAATTTATTTTAGCTACTAGCTGTACCCCGCGACTTCGTCCGCGTTTAGTTTAGGGCGTTAATATTGTTGCAAAGACACCTAATAATTTTTCTAAAATTTAAGCAGGCTAAGTTACTTCTTATAACATGAGCTATCTAATAGTGAAAGTCCCGCCCAAGTCGGTCCAGCCGTTTTGGAAATTAACCGCAACAAACAGACTGACAGACATACAAAAATGTTAAAAATTGTGTTAATGTTATAAGTACCGTATACAGTTTCATACGCAATTAGTAAAAAGCTGTTATTTTGACATTATAACAGACACTTCAATTTTATTTATTTGTGTATATATAGATAACGATTGAACTAACGGCTAACCTAACCGCGCTCATAGAAGCTTTCAATACTGGCTTCTCAGTTCGCACCGGGCTAGGGGTTATGCGTTGTTTGCGCGTCAAGCCAAGTAGGTATTGAATTATTTTAATTTTACATTATTTCTTAAACTATGTACTATATAAACATGGTATAAAGAACGAAGTTTATCTTCATAAAATTGTCTTGATAATGAAGTAACTTTGGTTCGTAAGGTGCCTAATAATTAAATTTTCATTTTTTTGTCACAAAATGCCTAATTGTGGCTTATATATAAGAAATAGACATATGGTATCGCGGACTTTTTTTAGACGGAGTAAAGATCTATATTTTTCTAGAACATTGTATTTACGTATCCCGAACCATAACAGCGCTTTTTCTTCTGACTTCCTATATATAGCCTAATGCTGTATAGCCTATACTATTCAACATGAATCTGGCTATAATATCCAAAAAAAGATTTTTCAAATCGGACTGGTAGTTCCAGAGATTAGCACGTTTAAACAAACAAAAACCCTCTTCTGCTTTATTATATTAGTATAGATGTTGCATCGTGTTCGTGTAACTTCGTTTTTATTCTAACGGTTCGGAACACCGTACGAACAAGACATGCGTGAATACTAGTGTCGATATGCTCATCACTGATACTATCTCTGTCGGGCACGATGCCAGGTGAGACAGCGTGCTTTTTGGCCGCGCCCACCAGCGAGTTCGAGCCCGCGACTTGTGCCACCTTAAGGATTGACCGACAACCAAGATTTTTTTTCTATATCCTTTTGTAGAAATAGAATATTACAATACAATGCAATTTATAGATTTACTAATTAAATTTAAATGAGTTTTAACAAACTTTACTTTTAAAACTTAAGTAATAATATTCAGTAATGGTAGGTATAAAAAAGATATTAACTATGTAAACATTTTGTACGTGTGTAGTTAAGTCAGTAATTTAGTAAGTAGGTGGTAGAACTCACTTTCTACCCAGAAGTCCGTCTGGGTACGTACCACCCTCAAACCTATGTATTTTTGCCGTCAAATAGCAAAGCTTGCACTGTTATTGCGCTGTTATAGAGAGCCAATATAATTACAGGCTGTGAGGTATTCCCTGTAAAGCCGCCTATCCATCAAAAATGTTGACAACAGTTATGTTTCCAACAAGCGTCTCCACCGAGGGAACGAATGTTGGCAACAAGCGTATTCCCTTGATGTTGCCGCCGAAAATGGAAACAAGTTTTGTTGGCAACTGTTGTGTTGGCAACAAAACTTTGGTGGAGATGCGGCTTTAGTCTTCAGAGGTAACAACGCATCTGAAGCCTTCTTTGTTTGTTGTTGGCTACAATATTGTTCACAGACTGCAGTAGCCACTCATAATCATCGTCATCATCATCATCATCATCATCATCATTATTACAGCCCTATATAAGTCCACTGCTGAAGATAAGCCTCCCTCCGAAGAATGCCACAAAGCACGGTCCTGAGCCACCTGCACGTCTTACCAGGTCGTCACTCCATCCAGTGGCCTGTATAGAAGTTTATCTTTTAATTTTTTTTAAGTGTTTCGGGTTGATGCATAATTGTTTTTCAGAATACGACCGCAGACCCCGTCAGAGGTTGTGGACGGATGCGGCGTGTGCGCGCGCGCTGGCGGCGAGGCCGGAGATGGCGGAATCGCGCTTGGCTCTGAGCGAGCCTTCACATTCGACTATGCCTTCGAACCTTCCGCCACCCAGGAGGCGGTTTACGAGACCTGCGTCAGGAAGCTCGTGGAGGCCGCACTCGACGGATATAACGCTACTGTGCTGGCTTACGGACAGGTTTGTGATTTCCGCTTTTTTATTTTTTGTATACTGTATACTCTTACATAAATCCGAAAAATTTTGAAATGATTCTTATTTATAATGCTTCGTAACTTACAAATATGTTTTTGTATGTGCTATAAATATCCTGGGATGTAACGTAACGTGGAACTCAAACTGGCTAGGTTTAATTTGAGTGGCGTGAAATCGAAGAACAGGCTCCTTAGGGGATGCAAATGTTCACCTGTGGACAATCAAAACCCTATGACAATGTTACAATGATATATTTAAATATTTTTAGAAGGTAACAGAATCTATACGTCTATATCTATACAAATAAATAAAATTGAAGTGACTGTTTGTAATGTCAAAATAACAGCTTTTTACTAAATGCATATGAAAGTATAATATATACGGTGCTTATAACAAAAATACAATTTTTTAAATGTTTGTCTGTCTGTCTGTCTGTTTGTTCCGGCTAATCTCCGAAACGGCTGGACCGATTTTGACGGGACTTTCACTGGCAGATAGCTACTATTATAAGGAGTAACTTTTATTTTAGAAAAGGAATTAGGGTATCGGTCAGAAAAAATTAAAACCTATAAGATCCAATCGTAATAAATTCCACGCGGACGAAGTCGCAGGGAACAGCTAGTAGTACATAAAGAGGAACGATTTTATAAGAAATCCATGTGCGATGAGTTTTGGAGGAAAAAATTACTTGGACTTAATTTTATTACAGTCTTGACTCCCTTAGGTATCCCGATAACAAATTGTGTTCAACATTAGATGATAGTTTTATCAACTTGCTATCATATTTACAAAAATAAAATAATGACAGAGTAATATTTTTTTATAGGATAAGGGTGACAAACGAGCACACAGTCCACCTGATGGTAAGTGGTTGCTGTGGCCCATAGACATCTACATCTATCTTCGATTAAGAATCAAAATGCAGATGCGTTGTCACCCTTGAGGACTAAGATGGAATGCCTCGTTTCCAGTAAGAAGGCTCTCCGGTTCTCTACACTCACAATTCGAAACACAGCAGCGTTAAGCTGCTATTTTACGCTGGTATTCTGTGAGAGCGTGGTCCTTCCCCGGTCGAGCCGACCCATTCATGCTACAACCATAATATAGCTGCAGCATGGCTCTACCACGTATGATATTTTTTTTTTATATTCAATTCGCTCTTGCTTTGCCGAGTAAGAGCGGTGAAAGGGAATCCGTCATCCATTTTGTCTCATAGGTATCATAAAAGACGACTATGGGAACTGCCAGAAAAATCTCATGACTTCCGAAAGATGACAGTATAATCATCTAGTTGAAGCGAGACGTAAAATATTCAGAAAAGCAACGGGGAGCAGCGTCAATGGACGTCAGGAACTGGCTTTCGATTGCCATTCCGCCCGCCAAGCGTGCTGGTCACTTCTTCGTATAACGAACAGAAAGACCCATGTTCAGCTGTGGGCTTTTAGAAGCTGGTAAAGAAAAGAATTCGCTCTTTACTAGTATGATGAAGTTAGCCAAGTAGGCATGTAGTGTATGCTACTGAACGTTGCGGGCGTCGGCGGTGTAATACGAGTACGATGCGGGCATATTTTCTATGACAGACTGTGCGGGCAGGATGTGTCTGCGGTTAGAGCGAGGCACTTGTTGGGAAATTAGATGAATATCAGGTTTACGACAAAACGCAATGTGAAGACGCGACGCGTAAATGCTGCACCAACGTGAATATCTTTAATGGTATGAGCGTAGGTAGAAAGATATATGGCGAGGGTACGATACTTTCCTTGCCTTTCTACGAGAGCTATTTGTGCACAAATATTGACGCAAGCTTGTGCTCTGTGTATTGTTAGAAATGACCCAGTAAAAGTCTTAAGAGTAAAGTGTTGTGCATGTGTTTGTATGTGATAAGAGATTACCTACAGCTATAAATGTAACTTGTGTTTGTTTTTATAAAACGTTACTCTCACACTAGCTAATTCCTAATTATCATGGAGGCGTTTTACATAGGTACAATATATTTGACAAACCATCCAGACGCAAAACAAGTATTTGTTGATCATTGCTAATTTATTGTAGTGGCGGTGTTAGAATATACACAACCCTTTATCGTCCCGAAGGTGTCTTAGGAGACACCACAGAGAAACTAAAACAGGAGATGGCCAGCAGCGTCTTCCCGATAATAACTCAGAATTATGAATAAAACTGCGCTTGCCAGTCTGCCTGCCAAACGTGGCAACTATGGCACAATTATTCCTATGAGCAATCTATATCTATAATATGTCTGAAATATTGGGGAAGCTTATGTTCAGCAGAGGGCTTTTATAAACTGTAATGGATGAATAGATGGATTGGGTTGGTTGCTTCTAATACCTACTGTTCCGTGCGAGAATCTAACTTGCGGTTCGCAGCGCCTCAACCAAACACTTGGCCACTGTGCTACAGAGTGCAGTCAACAACAACAGCGGTTATTCTCATTAGACAATAATTTATGCTAGCCTGTGGTCGCTAATAATAAATTGAAAACTATAGTGATAGCCAAAAAAAAAAACAAATTTATGTAGCGGATTTTGTTTCATTGAAAGTTCACAGAAAGCAAAAGATTAGCTCGTAATTGCAATTGAGTTCATTTGTGCAAAATGGGAGCACCAAATTGAAGTAAAGCGGCCTTTGTTCGGTTATTATATTCACGACCTTTGACTCGACACTGCTAAGAACGAAACATGTCATACATTTGTTACGTTATGACTTACTCGTATGACGCCGATTGCAATAAAGACAGGTCAATAGCCCTGCGTCACCTATCTATCGCTTTAGCGGGACACATAGCGCCAAACGCAATTAAATTTAAAAAAAAAAACTTTTAAAGCTCCTAAGGCGTTACCCTGACCAAATAACCTTGAGCATTCGTTCCCTCTTTAGACGTACGACGCTTTATCATAGAATTCACACAATTTTTGGAATTATTTTAATTAAAAAAGAAAAAAACGAACTTTAAAAATTAAATAAAACGTGAAGAATATAGATTTTTAAATTATCTATCCATTAGTGTAATCCTCAAATGATTAGAGCGTTGGCTTTAGCAACAGATTCGTCATGTCTGTCTGTCTGTCCGTTCGTATGTCACAGCCACTTTTTTCCGAAACTATAAGAACTATGCTGTTGAAACTTGGTAAGTAGATGTGAACCGCATAAAGATGTTCACACAAAAATAGAAAAAAAAACAATCAATTTTGGGGGTTCCTCATACTTAGAACTGAAACTCAAAAATTTTTTTCTATGGATAGGTCTTCAAAAATGATATTGAGGTTTTTCTAATATTATTTTTTCTAAACAGAATAGTTTGCGCGAGAGACACTTCTAAAGTTGTTCTAAAGTTAAAAATGTCTTCCCCCCCCCCCCCCCCCCCCCACTGTAACTTCTAAAATAAGAGAATGTTAAAACCTAAAAAATATATATGATGTACATTACCATATAAACTTCCACCGAAAATTGTTTTGAACGTGATTTAGTAAGTAGTTTTTTTTTTAATACGTCATAAATCGTAAACCGCAATTTACCTTTCATTCAATCAACTCAAATATAAAAATAAAATAAAAACATTTAATTTCATAAACATAAACCTTATGCATAGAATATAATAGAATGATTTTTATGCAATATTAATTATTACATAATAGTTATTGAAAGTTATTTTTTATTTAGCACTGGTTCGGAAAATACCTCTGTCTTGGGAAGAACCAGCAAAAAAAACCCAGCGGGACTTATTTTAAACATAATTTCACTTAACAATAATTTTGTTTATACAATTTTAAATGAATTTTCATAGAAACAGCATGGTGGCGATTACCTTATTCCCAGGGGTTATTTTCATTCATGTATTGCTTGATATTATAATAACCCTTTTTATACAGTTTTTCTTTAATAAAACTTTTAAACTTGTTTATTGACAAACTGAACATGTTCTGGGATTTTGTTGTAAAAGCGTATACATTGCCCTATAAATGAATTACTAATTCTGTGAAGTCTAGTAACTGGCATTACAAGCTTATGTTTGTTCCTAGTGTTTAAGGTATGAACATCCTTATTCCTATTAAAGCTATTTATGTTTTTATGTACATACATTACATTTTCATAAATATATTGCGATGCCAAAGTTAATATGTTTATTTCTTTAAATTTTTCTCTGAGGGACTCTTTACAATTTAGATTATAAATCGCCCGTACGGTTCTCTATTGCAAAACAAATATAGCTTCAATATCAGTCGCATTACCCCATAGCAAAATTTCATAAGACATTACGCTATGAAAGTAACTAAAATACACTAATCTAGCTGTCTCAACATCTGTGAGACTTCTAATCTTTCTTACAGCATATGCTGCAGAACTAAGTCTGCTTGCTAATTTAGATATATGGGGGCCCCATTGAAGTTTCGCGTCAATACCAAGAAAAACAGTGGTATCCACAAGACTCAAATCCTCCCAATTTAAGAGCATATTGGTTTCCGAATGTTTTACATTAGGTATTGTAAATTTAATACATTTTGTCTTATTGCCGTTTAAGAGCAAATTGTTGGCGTTAAACCAATGTACTAATTTCGACAGAACATATTTACATAGTCATAATAAATTGACTGCCGTTTGAGTTTGAAAATTAAAGAGGTATCATCAGTAATATCGCCAATAATACTATATCGTGACTGTCCCCTACAAGATAAGGTAAGTCATTAATAATATAGATTAAGAACAGGAATTGGCCATGTCGAGAGAATGAATGAAGAACGATTGACGAAAAAAGTGTATAAGGCGAGTGTGAATGAAAGTGTTGGAAGGGGTAGACCTAGGCGGACATTTCTAGACCAAATCAGGGACGTCTTGAAAAAAGGCCAGGTCAAGAGTACTCTAAACCGTAGAGCATGTGTGAAGGGAATAATGAAAGTGGACGAAGCAAAACAAGTATGTAAGGATCGTAGCAAGTGGAAAGAACTGGTCTCTGCCTACCCCTACGGGAA